TTTTCCCTGAATTGAATTGAAACAATGTTTTGTTTATGAACCCCTAAATTTAATGTCTCGTCTTGAGAAAAAAAACGGATTTAAATTATATCATTCTGTCATTATTTCTGTTTATTCTTAGAACTATACGTTATAGACTTGTAATTTATAGACAAACTTCCTGTTGTCTCGTTTAATTTCGGTTTGTTTCGAGCTACTTCGACGTGTCGGTTTCATAAAAATGGTAAAAAGGCGGTTTTTTCATAAATCTGAGGGAAACAAGTAAACAAAGACGTTTCTAAAATAGCTGTTGTTACGATGATATTTCGTCAATTACATCTCGTTTCATGTTGATATACAGGGTGTTTCAACGAGATTCCTCACGTAAAAATAGGACTTACTTTTCATATCAACATAGTTCCGATTCTGCTTTGTTTCGTAGCTACAGGGAGTTAAAATCTTAATAATCTTTCGATTTATTATAATTTTCTTCCAACTACTTTTAGTAATTCCAATGAAATTTTGAGAGTAAAATGTCCTATAAGTGCTATATAATTTAATGCTAAAAAAGTGTTGATAAATTCATCAGGGACGTGCATATGGGTTATCACTGGAATATTTTTCAAAAAAAACATGTGCGCCACTGACTTTTTTCTTTTGATATCAAAATTGTGTAGGTCGTTTAATGCCAATTAAAAGTTATCTCTTGATATTTTGTCGAATTCGGCCGCCTTGATGCGATAAACGTAATTTTATTAATCACAATAATTAATAAAATTAAAATTAATAAATTATATATTTTACCTAATTTATTATTAAATATTATTACTATTAGTTCAATCTACAGCAATTTCCAATAAAAAAATAATGATATTTAAGATAATTACAACCTAATTTTAAAAAGCATCCTAAAACTATGCATTTCCATACCCATGTTTATAGGAACTTTTTTTCATATTTTTTGATGAGGAATCAATGAGTACTTATTTAAAACTTTCGCGTGTTAATGATATTAAATTTTTTTAAAGGTTGCTATGAGATTTGGATCTAGGCAAATTAATAAAATTGCGTTTATCTCATTAAGGAGGCCGCAATCGACAAAATATCAAGAAAACAGCTTTTAATCGGCATTAAACTGCTTACACTATTTCGCTAACAAGATAAAAAAAAGTCAGTGGCGTACATGCTTTTTTTAGAAAAATATTCCAGTGATAATTAACCCATATGCACGCCCCTGGTGAATATATCGACACTTTATTAGCTTTAAAATATGTCGCATTTACAGTAACTTTTACCCTGAAAATTTTATCAAAACGCTAAATGCACTTAAAAATTATAATAAATCGAAAAAATATTAAAACTTTAACACCCTGTAGCTACGAAACAAAGCAGAATCGGACCTATGTTGATATGAAAAATAAGTTTTATTTTTACGTGAGGAATCTGCCCACAAGAGATGACACATGTTTTTTGAAACACCCTGTATAGTAGATATCTCGGTAGATATTTAAGAACAAAACTTTTCACTTAATCTGCAGGAATATAATTACAATATTTTTATTATTTAATTTTATTACATATTGAATTTCTCTTTTAATACAATTTCAGTACCTCCTCAAATCTTGTCATTTGATTTTGGAGAACCGTCAGTAAATGCTGGCGACGTAACTTCTACTATGTGCACAGTGCACAAAGGTGATCTTCCTGTAAACGTCACCTGGTTACACAATGGAAAGGCCATCACTTCCAATGATGGAATTTTTATTCAACTCCGTAAAAAAGTTAGTAGTATTACAATTGATGACGTCAACGAAACTCATTCTGGAAACTACACATGTATCGCTCAGAATTCTGCTGGGCTAGATACTTTTACAGCTGAGCTACATATCAACGGTAGAATATTAATATTACTGTTGATTTTTTTAGTGTTTTATGACCACCCTCCTTAACCAAATACACCTAAAATCCCTATTCTTAATTAGAATTAACTGATTTCTCCAGTGATTCCCCAAATTCTTCCTTTCGATTTTGGAGAAGAGTCAGCTCACTCAGGAGACTCTAAGACACTAAGCATCGATAGCATTGAAGCTGTTCATAATGGAAGCTACGAATGCGTGGCAGTAGTGCTAGTAGTGGCTACCGTGACGGTAGTACCTAACTATAATTTAGAGTTGCTTGTTAGTCGGTATTCGGAATATATCAGAATTTTTTGATTATATTATGATATTGAGTGCAATGGGAGGTTATTGGTGTTTTATTAATTATACACAGTATAATATTTTATAGTAAAATATGTTTTAATGAAAACTATGCTATAGGAGGTGTAAAAATAATATTTTGGTTTGGTCTTTACTGTATCTTTTGCTGAAGTTTTGATAGATTGCATTGACAAGTTTTTTAAATGGAAAAAATAAACCGCTATTATCTGTCAATTTTAAGACTTCAGATCAAAACTACAGTTTAGCTCATTGTGCTACTATTTCTACGCTTTCTATGACATCGTTTTCAATCGGTCATGCGGTATATACAGTGCCTGCCAAAATTTTTTGCAACAAACAGTATTTTTTATATTATTGAGTTACAGAATAAAAGTTTGCGTGTAATAAAATGTTTTTTGCAAGCCAGTTTCACTCGTAAGTTTAGTCTGAGGAAGATGCTCTCTCATTTTTGACTATTCCATATACAGGGTGGTCCGAACTAAATTCCGGAAACTTCGGCAGCTTATTCTGCAAATAAAAATAAGTAAAAAAGTTCGTATAAATGTATGTCCTAAAATGCTTAGTTTCGGAGATACAGGGTGTAGGAGTTTCATTTTTATTTCGATATTTTCCAAATATACCGTCAATAATTGGATGAAAATTGATCTGGGAGTTTTTTGACATGAGAAATTTGATTTTGATGTCAATATGACTCCTACTAGTAGAGGGCGCCACCTACATATTTTTAAACTGGTTTGAAGAGTAATAACTTTACGTCCGTACCTGTATAAAACTACTGAGTAAAAAACGTACATTTACGACGTTTTTCACGTGAAAAAGGTCTCTTGGTAAAAATCGCTACGAGTAATGGTTTTCGAGATATTTGGAATCGAAATTATCAATACCTGTCATCGTTGACATAAATTAAACATGTTGACTAAATAGTTATTAGACTGTTTTATCATCATTTTTTGCAGAAAAATTTATGATTAATTTAAAAAATAAAAATTTCGCAAATTTATTATTTCAGTGAAATAACTATCTAACTCAACGTGTTTCTTTTTTGTCAATAATGACATGTATTGTCTATTTCCATTCTAAATATCTTAAGAACGGTTGCTCGTAGCGATTTTTACAAAGAGATATTTTTTACGTAAAATGTCACAGAGATGTATATTTTTTCGCTCGGTAGTTTTATACAGGTACGGATAAAAAATTATTACGCTTCAAAACAGTTAAAACACAAGTAGGTGGCGCCCTCTACTAGTAGGAGTCATATTGACACCAAAATCAAATTTCTCATGTCAAAAAACTCCCAGACACCAATTTTCATCCAAGTATTGACGTTACTTCAGAGATTATTTAGAAAAAAACGAAATAGAAATGAAATTTCAACAGCCTGTATCTCTGAAAGAAAGCATTTAAGGACATACATTTGTACGAACTTTTTTACTTATTTTTATCTGCAGAATATGCTGCCGAAGTTTCCGGAATACAGTTTGGACCACCCTGTATATCTAAAATCATTGTCGCACATCACTAAAATCATATTATTTCTGGGACTGTTTTAAAAGGAACATCAAACAAGAGAAAGAGTGGATCTACTAGTTATCCTGTAAACACGGTGAGTCGTATATTGGAAAAACGAAACATCCTCTATCTTTATTCAAGTTTGGAAATTTCCCCAATAGAATTATTAAGCACGTTGAGCTAAATCCACATATCCTTTTTTCGATAATTCAATAATAAAAAAAATACTTTAAATGCTTTTTTCATAATATGTTAAAGTTAGATTTTTTTACCTTTTAAAGTTTTACCACACATAACTCCCTTCGCGTTTGAAGAAGAGGCAAACACAGGAGACAGTACACAGACCCAATGTTACATAAACAAGGGCGATATGCCTCTAGAGTTTTCCTGGAAACTAAACAATGTTCCAATAGAGAAAACTTCAGGCATCAACGTTGGTCTTTTTGGGAAAAAGACTTCTGTTTTAAGTATTGACTCAGTGAATGAAAGACATGCAGGAAACTACACTTGTCTAGCGTCAAACCAAGCAGGAACTGACAGCTACACTGCTCAGTTAGTGGTTAAGGGTACTTTTTTAGAACACTATCTTAGATTTAAAGTTTTTATAAATCTAATATGAATTCACGTTAAATAACTCACAAGAAGAAACAGTGTTGGACAGACATTTTTGGATTTCTTTAATATACAGGATGTCCCAATATTACGAGGACATACAACCACTACGTATTTTTGGAAACAAAATACTTTTCTGGACACAATTCGCCTCTAGTGTGAAAGTGCTTCGTTTGTCCGTTAGAGGACAACACTCAGAAATAAAAATTTGGCTGGTTCATTTCTTGAACAGATTTCTGGATTTTTCGTCATTAGAAAAAAATGTAACCCAATAAAAAAGTTATTTTTTGTAAACACCACTGTGTTGATCCAACGGAGACCAATTTAATAAATAAAAAGTAAATAATGTTTATTGTGCAAATGTAAAAAAGTACAAACATATAACAAATTAAAGGCAATAATTAATCCACATTCCACAAAAAGGTTGGAGATTTGTCAGTTAAAATTTTTGTCAGGTTACTTTTTTTTGTGTCTTTGATTTTAATAAACATAAAATAAATAAACATAACATAAATAAGTAAAAAAATAAAAAAACATCCCTAAAAATATTTGCACTGTTTTAAGACTTGTATATTAAAGAATTCTGTGAATTTCAAGACTTGTTTCTACTTGTATTTTACTCACAATATTAGAAAGTTTGCATGTACATTTTGTTTCAAAACTTGCATACAATTTTTCCAGTTCTACCCAAAATTCACCCCTTCAGTTTCGGTGATGAACCCTCACCAGCTGGTGAAACTATATCTGTCCAATGCACCATTTCCATTGGTGATTTACCCGTTGAATTTTCCTGGATGTTCAATGGAAAACCAATCAATCACGAGGATAGCATTAGTATTGCATCATTTGGAAAGAAAGTCTCTGTGCTGAATATAGACAGCATCAGTGAATTACACGCTGGAAACTATACTTGTATAGCTGCAAATAAAGCTGGGATGGCAAGCTATACTGCCCAGCTTGTTGTTAAGGGTATTTAAAACAGATAATACTGTTTTTATATGTTTATAGTCGTTTTTATTTGTTATTAACCCAATTTCTAATGATATTTTACCTCTGGGCGATTTTTGTATCTCACGAATAGACAAAACCCTTATCTTTAACTCAATACTTTAACACTCTCAACGATTATGCACAATATATGGTGATTTTGGTGAAGGTTCTTATATTTCTCTAACTCTTCTCCCATTACTTTCAGCGTTACCGAAAATTCAACCTTTCGATTTTGGCGGAGACACACCTTTTGAAGGTGAAACAGTGTCTGTTCAATGCATCATAGCCAGCGGTGATATACCTGTCAATTTTTCATGGATGCTTAATGACAGACCTGTCAAAAATTACGACGAAATAAGCGTGTCTTCTGTCGGAAAGAAGATCTCCGTTTTGAGCATTGACAGTATCAATGAGAATCACGTAGGAAACTATACTTTTACTGCTTGTAATCAGGCTGGGGTGTCTAGTTTTACTGCAGAGTTATCTGTTAAGGGTACAAAATTATTGTTATTTGCATCTATGTTAATTCCATTTCCTAGTTTATCCTAACTTTAACCTTTTTTCCTGTAATGCTTCAAACCTCCAAAATAAGACAAAATACTATTCCTGTTAGACCCACTATACATTTGGCAGTTTTTCTATCTTTGTTTATCAAGTCTTGTGTTGTTATTGAAGCTGTGTCTTCAATAAGATTTTTTGGGTTTTCAGATCAAAATTTGGTTTAATGTCTTTAACAGAACTTCACTGTTACTTTTAATCTATTGGTTATATTTGTAGCATTTTCTTCTCAATGATGTTTTGTTATTTCAAGATAATAAATATTCTTTGCATGTTTATTCCGGAGATGAAACTTGCTTAGATTTTCTTTATAAACTTTACTACGAGTACTTCAAAGTACATTTAACATTTGCTATAGAGAAATTAGAGAACATATTGTTGTTGCTATATAGAATACATTGAAATGAAGTTACCTCATATGACAACATCCTGTAGTTTTAAAAATATTCTTTTCTTTCAACATTTTATCAATTTTTTTTGTGTCAATTTTTTTTTGATCTGATCTAACAGTTTGTTTGTTATTTACTTTTGTATATATTTTGTTTTGTACCTTTTATTATAATTAATTTGTTTTGTGATCTATAAATTTCTTCATTTTAATTTGTAATTGATACCTTAATTGATACAGTACGACCCATTCTGTAACTTCTAAATAATTGAAAAAAATTAAAACTAAATTGGCTCTTGCTGTTGAATGGGGTATATAAATTAAAATAATGTTACGTTTTTCGTCGGTTCCGTGTGGATAGAAAGTCACAATTTATTTAAACACTATTTATTTAACACTAATTAACAAAAACAATAACGATAAAAGACTTATAGGACTATTTACAAACGATTTATAACTAAGAATTTATTTTGAATTTTAGCGCGTCAACTGTATATTTATAACTGCCCTCTCTAGGCCACAGCCGCCGGCTTTTATACCTACAGTTAAAGTTTACTAGAATAGTCCATAGATCGTTAGGTGCATAGAGAAGGTTTTTGAATGTTCTCGTATGTACTACTCCATTCCAGTGGAACTCGATCCTTCTCGAATCTTCGAATGAAGCATTGCGGTGTCTATGCGATGTTAAGGTCATCCGAGGGCGGGCCATATTGTTAGGTTAGGTCGAGTCCACACCGGTCCGCAACAATAAAATAAAATAAAATAACATGACATTATTTAAGTTTAATTTGAACTAAATGAGCTTTTTGTATTATTATTTATGAAACATAATTATATGAATTAAAAATTTTAAACTTTTTTCAGTATCTCCTAAAATTCACCCATTTTCTTTTGGTGATGAACCAGCTTTTGAAGGTGACACTGTCTCGGTTCAGTGCATTATATCAACGGGTGATTTGCCGGTAATATTTCGTTGGTTATTAAATATGAAACCTCTGGACACTTTACACGACATAACCATCGCATCTATGGGAAAAAAGATCTCTGCTTTGACTATAGATAGTATTAGTAGGGAACATGTAGGTAACTATACTTGTGAAGCTACCAACAAAGCAGGAACTTCAAGTTATACTACACAATTGAATATCAAGGGTACACATAATTTTTTTATAGTATTTTTTTATTTTTTCCTGTTGATCCAAAAAGCATTACCCTAATTACTCTGGTAGATATCGATGGGACATAAAATGTGTTGAAGAGTGTGAGTATTACTGGGTAGTATCTCCTCTTTATTTTTATCTGATATCTGTTAACTTTTCTTTGACTGAAATATTAAATTTTGGTTTACATCGATTTAGTACACTTAAAACAATCATTTTAATTTCGTTTAGTTGCTCCAAAGCTTCATGCTTTCTCTTTCGGTGAAGAACCATCATACATGGGTGAATCTACGACAGCTAGTTGTAACTTAGCTCAAGGCGACCTACCAATAACCTTCTCTTGGATGTTGAACGGGAAACTAATAAATCATATAGATGGAATAAATATCGGTTCATTTGGAAAAAAGACCTCTGTCCTGGCATTCGACAGTTTGACAGATAAGCATGCAGGAAACTACACCTGCGTTGCATCAAATAAAGCTGGAACCTCTAGTTTTACTGCAGAGTTACATGTTAAGGGTACAATGTTTGGTTCTGTAGTTTTTTAAAGTTTTTTTTTTTAATCTTAAACCTATTTAAACCTTTTTTCCTTTAGTTTTACCTAGAATCACACCGTTTTACTTCGAAGACAACCCTGTACACGCTGGCCAATCTGTACAAGTGGGATGTTTTGTTTCTGAGGGAGATTTACCCTTGAAATTGACATGGAAATTTAATGGAAGTGATCTAATAGATTTACTAGATGTATCTACAGCGTTTGTGGGAAAAAGAACTACGATTCTTTCTATAGATTCTGTTTCGTATTCTCATGCAGGGACTTATACCTGTTTGGCAGAAAACCAAGCAGGCAAAGCGGAGATTTCTGCGGATCTACAAGTTAATGGTTATTTTAAACATATTAAAAGCTTTACAGTCATTTTGTTTTCATGCTTTTGTGTAGCTTGACTATTAAACCATTTATTTACACCAAAATGATTATATTTTTAAGATAAAAACACTCAGTGCAAAGATTCTTATTAACAAACTTAGGTTTGGTGAACTTATTATATGTTTTAAATGTTATGAAAATCGCTTTAATTTGATTTAGTTGCTCCCAAGCTTCATGCGTTCTCTTTTGGAGACGAGCCATCATATATGGGTGAATCTACCACAGTTAGTTGTAACTTAGCTCAAGGAGACCTACCAATAACCTTTTCTTGGATGTTAAACGGAAAATTAATCGCTGATATAGATGGAATAAATACAGCGTCTTTTGGTAAAAAGGCTTCTGTATTATCATTTGACAGTTTGACAGATAAGCATGCAGGAAACTACACTTGCGTGGCATCAAATAAAGCTGGAACCTCTAGTTTTACTGCAGAGTTACATGTTAAGGGTACAATGTTTAGTCCTGTAGTTCTTTATATAGTTTTTTTTTTAATTTTAAACCTATTTAAACCTTTTTTCCCTTCAGTTTTGCCTAGAATCACACCGTTTTACTTCGAAGACAACCCTGTACACGGTGGTCAATCTGTACAAGTGGCATGTTTTGTTTCTGAGGGAGATCTACCTTTGAAATTGACCTGGAAATTTAATGGAAGTGATATAGTAGATTTACTAGATGTTTCTACAGCAGTTATGGGAAAAAGAACCACAATTCTTTCTATAGATTCTGTTTCGTACGCTCATGCAGGGAGTTATACCTGTTTGGCAGAAAATCAAGCAGGCAAAACGGAGATTTCTGCGGATCTACAAGTTAATGGTTATTCTAAACTTTCATGCTTTCATGTTTTAGTGTGGCTTGAGTTATTAAACCATTTATTTATACCAAACATTATTATTTTTTTAAGAGAATAACACTCAGTGCAAAGATTCTCATTAGCAAACCTAAAAAGTTTGGTGAGTTTGCTATAAATTTTAAATGTCGTTCAAACAAAATCAACGTCATGATAGTTCTCTTACAATAGAACCTTTGTTTCTTCTAGTTCCTCCTCAGATAGCTCCGTTTGATTTTGGTGAAACTCCTCTAAATGCTGGAGAGTTCCTTCAAGTAATGTGCACAGCCAAAGAGGGAGATTTACCTATTAAACTCCACTGGACGCTTAACGGAAAACCTTTAAATCTAACTTCAGATTTATCGGTATCGCCAGTTGGTAAAAGAGGATCTACATTGTCTATAGAAGCAATCAGTCACGCACATGTGGGCACATTTACATGTTTTGCCGAAAATCTAGCGGGAAAAACTAGTTTTTCTTCCGAATTAAGAGTCAACGGTTCGACAAAATTTTGAGTTATAGCTGCATGAGTGTAGTTTTAGTGTTTATATACCAGCTGATTTATAATTAAGTGGTAATATTTGAAAATTTTAATCTATAAATCAGTATTCTAAGATACAATTGCCATTTGTATTTATTATAATCAATATAATCAATGTTGAGTCTTTTAGACATTCTGTAGACACTCTCTCTTTTACAAGTTTCTGAAAAATGTATCTAAGCTTCAGTGTTAAGCGAAAAAATACTCGATTGCAACCAAAATGGCTATTATATGTCTCTTATTTGTAGCAATATATGGATTAATGTCTTTAAATATTAATATTTAATGGTAAATCAGCTTGCAACATTGAACTCCAATTTTTTCCATTTCCAGATCCTCTTTTTACATTTTTCAAAGAAAATATACTAGATACTACCTTATTTTTCTCTTATTTGCTCCTAGTACCACCAGAAATATCTCCATTTGATTTCGGAGACTCCCCAATACACGTTGGACACTCAGTTCAAGTTCAGTGTTTCATATCAGAGGGTGATTTACCATTGAAAATCACCTGGCAATTAAATCACAGCGATATCGACAAAAGTCTGGATCTGGCACCCATTCCAGTAGGCAAACGC